GAAGACACAGTTTGGCTCATGATGTACCTGCTTGGACACTCGAGGCTCCTCCTCGATATACTTTTGCTCAATAGGAATCAGCGTCCTGAGACCAGCCTTCACCTGGAATAAACACAAGCGGCGGCGTGAACCGCAAATGGTGAGAGAGAGATTAGTGTATCTTGATTGTTTCAGATCTTTTTTTTAAAAAAAAACAGACTGTGTACTGGCACAACATGGCAGCACAAGCATAGAGCGTGCCCCATGTCAGAGGCTAGAGAGAGTGCGAGGGAAAGCTGCAAGATGGCCGCTAAAGGGACACACACAGCGATGGTGAATGGGCGAACAAAAGCTGCTGAGAGGGAGTCTTCGATAATTAAAGCCAAAACGAGGATGAGGGACAAGGGACGAGGGATGAGACGGGAAGCGAGGGAAGGGGGGTGGCAAAGAGAATAAAGACAACAGCAGCGTAGAAGAGGGGGATGATGCTGGGGAGAACAAGAGAGGATAATAGGGGGTGGGGGGCAAAATAGAAAAAGAAAATCGGGGAGGAGGCTCAAAAAAGCAAAAGAAAGACTTACAGCATTAAAAATCACGTCTATTTCGAGAAAGATGACCCCTTTTGTTGGCCCTGTCAGCTCCTTGCTTTTCAAGGCGTAGGCTTTGCGTTCTCCATTTTGGATCTGTGGGAGAGGGACATGACAGGCGTCTGTCTGGCAATACCCGGCTGAATCGGCTCCCCGGGCCACCTTTGAACCCCAGCTGCTGGCGCTGACAGGGAACCCAAAACAACTGTGGCAACTCTGACAAGTACCTGTTCATTACCCACTGCAGCTCAGCTCTGTCAAACAGAAATTAACTATCCTGGGGAATCGTACTGTACAGCAGAGCACGGGTATATTATACACACAGTTCCTTCACAGGCTTTATTTTTATGAATATAAGACAGATGCTTAAGTCTATATATACATTTATTTTTCAAATGACACTGTTCAGTGTCTCCATCAGTGTCATTTTCATATCGTCTCTCATCCCCTAACTTCCGTTCTTCACATCTATCAATCTCTTCTTTCGTCTCATCCTCTCTTCCATTTTTTCTCGCTCCTGTCATCTCTTTCTCTTTTGCCAAAAAATAACAGTGTCATAAGTAAAAGCTGCAAAAAATAACCTCTGCTCTTTATAGCTCATTTTCATTTTTAGTTTTTGTTTCCCAAGGGAGGCGGAACAATAAAGAAACACAGAAAGAAGCCTTTGACTCACATTTAGTAAAGGAATAGCCACTTTTCCCAGGAAGTCTGCACTTCTGTCTCTGTCCTCATCGTAAACGGTGACCTCAAGTACCGAGTGGATGTCCTTCACATTACTGGACAATACACAAAGACAAACACCAGTGGTACACATACTGAAATAGGCTTTTGAAAATACTAAATACAGAGAAA